GCAGATGGATCGAAGTGGAGATGAAGGAATCCTCATAGTCCGGGAACATTTTCACCAGATTTTGAGCTGTCATCTTTTATTGTTTTCTGTATCCGATTCAATTAAAGTTAATTTCTGTGTAACTCAGACAGTTAGGAATTAAAATAACTTTTAGTGCTTCTGAGTCCTTAAAGTCCTTACACTTACATCATCTGGTTTAATCCTCTGGAAATTGTGTGAGTATGTGCTGTCATGGGAGTACATGCTGTCCTTACCTTGGGTTCAAGATGAGGAAGCCCAGATACAGAACAGTTTAGTCAATCAAGTTCAAAAAGCAAGGACGTACCAATGGAGACAGAACCTGGAGTATCTGGCAGATAAAAACTTTAAGTGCTTTTTCTGGTAGACCAGAAAACCAGGGTATCCAAACTTAATTGTTCACTTGGTTTTTCAGCATAAAAATTAATTTCTCCTAAAATAAAAGCCAACACATTATAAACTGCTCTTCCAGATGAAAAGAACATTAACATGGGAATATCACCTATAGTTTGTAATCCTGAAAAGCTCAGTCCTTCCAGTCTTAGGGGAAATGTCTCAGAGATAAAGGCCAGACATTCAAACAGGATATTTTCCTCTAGGAAAATGTTGAGATTATTTTTAAAAATTGAGTTTCATTATTACCTGAAAAGAAAAACAAAATAGTGCCCAATCCATGTTTGAGGAAATCCAAAGACAGCAAATAGTTCTGTGGGCTCTCAAAGTTTCCCTGGAGAGGATTCAGAGCAGTTGACAAGCGCATACATAATTACTGCAAAAATGCAATCCCATATGTCACAGTTACCTTGCTTTGAATCAAAGAAAATCCGTTTTGGAGCGGATTAAGTTTTCTACTCCCCTAAAGTTACTTATTCAAATTTTCAGTGTTTCTATTATGTTGTTTTCTCCCATGGAGGCAGAACACATCTTATTCCAACAGTGAGGGAAGAGGAAGGGATGCCGAGCTCTGGCTATAAATATTTTATTATATGGAGAGACAGAGATCACAGAGGGGCAGATCAGTAGCAGAAAACAAATGTGATGTTGTTTTCAATACCTCGGAGGAGGTTTATGTTCAACTGTCTCTGCCAGCTTGTTTTCTGCTTGGCTTTTACACTCTCAAAGCTGATAATGAAACCCTTTTGTTTATCTAGAGTTTACCTATTAGATGAGCAAAGCATCTAGCTGAAAGTATAGAATTATCCACATTATAAAGTGTACGTGAACAGAAAGCTGTTCTAAAATGGCACAGTGGTGAAGATATATTTTCAAGAAGGATGATCCATATTCATTTCTTTTGGAAAAGTTCTATTTTAGTTAAAAAAGAAATTGTGTGTTAGGTTTTCTCCATACAATCCATTTTTTCTCCTTTTATCCCAGTGCCTCAGAGTTGTTAGAACTCTGACCTCATGGGATTTAGCGTCTTTCATGGTGTCAGAACCCACTGGAGTTCATTTGGCCAGAACTCAGTATTAATAAGGCCAAGGTTGTAGCCTGTTCTCTTTGAGCGAGAGTAAAAGTCCTGTTTTTCTAAGCTAGTAGCACAGACCACATATCAAGCCTCCTGTTCACATATTTGCATCTCCAGGTACAAGGAGAAGTGGATAAAAAGGCGAATAATGCAGCGAACATTGTAGGATGGCAGGATTGATGGGCCCATTTCATCCTGTGTCTATAGCACCTTAAAATATATCTAAGTGTTCTCATCCTTGAATGAGTGGAGGAAAAGAAAAGTGTGCGGGGACCAGCACTGTTTGTACTAATATAGTTGATGGTAAATCTTTGTTATGTTCCACATAAAATAGAATCTTGAGTTTGTTAGTAATTTGCCAATGAACCCAATAGTATATTCATACCTCAGTCAAGTGCCATTTCTAATGAAGCTTTTGTTTTTTCTTTGACCTGATGGTGAAGGCACCTAATATTGAGGGGCCAATTTATCAAAGAATCTGTGAAAATGAAATGTACAAAATGGCATAGACTTGCGTGTTGAAAACTTAGTTATGCTTCTTTGATGGGTATATCTCTATTTTTATGGCACACACGCACACACCACAGCCATGGAGATGCTTATTTTTCTGGTAAAATATAGTTCTTGTGGATGAACTATAACTTTTTTTTTTTTTTGAAATTACTCACAGGACACGTCACTGCTTTTTGCTGTTAAGGGCTAAATTCAGTGATCTAAAAGTGCTTCTTGCTATGGTTTCGTACTTCATAAAAACATGAAGTAATATTTTTTACTAGTCACTGTTGGCCAGGTGCTTTACATAGGCCATTTTTAACTTGTCCTGAGGACCACTCTATGTTATAGAAAATGGTGTCCATCTTCATTTTTCAGATGAATAAATAAACTTGAGGAATAACGATTTGGCCCAAATCATGCAGCTAGCATAAGGTGAAGCCACCTCTGTCAATTCCAAAGCCACCCCTTTCCTCTTTTTATTTTTATTTTATTTATATTTTAAAGATTGGCACCTGAGCTAACATCTGTTGCCAATATTCTTTATTTCTTTTCCTTCTTCTCCCCAAAGCCCCCCAGAACATAGTTGTATATTCTAGTTGTGAGTGCCTCTGGTTGTGCTGTGTGGGACACCACCTCAGCATGGCCTGATGAGTGGTGCCATGTCCATGCCTGGGATCCAAACCAGTGAAACCCTGGGCTGCTGAAGCGGAGCGAACTTAACCACTCGGCCACGGGGCCAGCCACTAACCCCTTCCTCTTGAAGGTTGAAAATGCAAATATTAAACTTAATTGGCATCGGTACCTCATATTAAGGTGTACATCATCAACAGGTTCAGAGTGGTATAGCTATTCTCTGAACATACTCTACTGAACATTCAGATTGCTTTTTCTAGGTCTATAGTGGCAGTATGGCCTTATCAGAGCTATATGGATAAAGGTTTCTTAGTGGCATGTTTAAAGGGAAAGAAATTTGAGAGGAGAGTTTTAATGGTGATCTAGGCATGTAGTAAATTAAGTTTATGGCAGCTGATATTTTTTATAAATTTGGTTATTTGCAGTATAAATAGAAAACTTAAAATAATGCTAATTCTTATGAAATAAACTAAGTGAATATTGGTTAATTATATAGAAAATGTAATATAATGGTACCAATGTATAAAACAAATAAGGTCATTTAATTCATTTTATTTTTCTGGACAAAGTATTACTTTTACAAAATACGTTGAATTCTTGCCATGCAGTGGACTCCTGTGGTTCTATCAGTCCTGAATTGCATTTCCTGACAAGGTCACTTTTCTCTAATACTCTGAAATATCTGAAGAGAGTATCTCAGCACTTTAAAAGGAAATTGTCTACTTCTATTCTAGCTGATTTTGAACTAAATCAAAGCACATAAGAACGGAGCTTTCAGAACCATCCTTCTAGGATTTCTTGTTACTGATGCAAGTCACTGCTTTTTCGCATGTCCTACTGACCTTAGCAATGATAATTTAAAAAATAGGGCATGCTTTTAAAATGACTTTACCAACAAATTACTTTCTATGAACTACAAATAAATCAAGGTTAAATTTAACCAGTTTAAAATATTGAGAAGTAAACCTAATTGGAAAATCTTTGCAGCGGCTTTAAAACAAAGGTATCCTTAAAGAAGTCTTAAACATTTTTCAGATGCACCAGAAAGTGGATGCAGTGTGTAATACCTCCATGTTTTTTTTGTGTCACAAAGTACTGGCATTTTTATAGAAAATACAGGTCTGCTAAGTGTGTACATTGTGTACCTACTGTTAACTGATGCATATAATGAAATAAAAGCAAGTATTTCTTTTTATTATTCAAGAAGAAAAATGGAGCTGTGTCTGGGAGCAGTTTGGGTTGTCCCATAATGAATAAGGTGGACTATCAACCTATAATTATTTTCAAGGAAATTTTCTTTGGACTTGTCTGAAAATTGGATGAGCAATGACTAATATCAGGCAGAAGCAAAGAATTGGGATCTGGAATTTGTCTTTTTAATAGGATATGAGAGAATAAGTACTTTTGGTTCCTGGATCTTTCATGAAGTATATGATATCTGTGTTTAGTCCCTTTCTGCCCTAGCAATAGTATTTATTATTTACTCACTTAAATAGCAATGCTGTGCTGAACCATAAGCAAGCTTAGGAACTTATAGATCCACAGATAGCTTTGATCCAGCCAATGTGTATATAGTCAATCCTCATTATTCATGGATTTTTTATTTGCAAATTCACCTTCTCATGTTTTTTGCGTTTCTGTGCCTCTTTTTTTCCTGTTTGAAATAGTCCTCCAGCGTAGTGCTGAAGTGGTATCTAGTGTTCCTAAGCACAAGAAGGCTGTGATGTACGTTATGGGAAAAACACAAATGTTAGATAAGCTTTGTTCAGGCATGAGTTGTAGTGCTGTTGGTTGTGAATTGAAGGTTAATGAATCAACAATATATATTAAATAAGGTGTCCTTAAACAGAAACACACATAAAACCATAAAACAAGGTTATATGTTGGTTGATTGATGAAAATGTTGGGACCAGAGACTAGCAGAAACCTAATCCTGTATTTCCCCTAGGACCAATGGTTCAGCATTCACTAATTCAGTGTTTGTGGCAACTTCATAGGACATAACTCCTGCAAATAATGAGAATCAACTGTACTAAACATGTACCGTGACTAGTTGGCTAGACTCCAGAGTTTCAGGGCCCAAAGGCACCATTTCTCTCCCTAGAGGGCTCACCATCTATTGAAGAGATGGACTCACAGAGGAGTGAGTAGAGAAAGAGCTGTGACAGATGTAGGCAAGGTGCTAAGGGGAGTGTAACACTGCCTGGGGGTATCCAGGTAATAATATACAGATCAGTAGCAGCATGCCTGAGAAAATGTTTGAAACAGTAAAGGAAGGATGTACAGCATGTAGGAGAATGTGAAGTAAATGAGCTTATATGTTTATTTTTAAACAGAGCATATTGTTGGTGGGGTTCTGACTCATGTTGCTACCATGTTGTTCCAGAAATACACTGTGGCAAAATGCTTCCACCTCTTGCCAACATGAACACTGAGGAAAAATGAAGAACACTGAAGCACTCCAACGAAAAGTTGCAGAACAGAAATAGCCACACTCCTCTGGAGTCTAATTCATCCACAGCCATCATAAAAAGGTAGGGGAATAAATGACATTATGGTTTTGCCCTTTAAATTTTATTTTAAATTATGTGATAGTAAAAAAGCAGAAAAGGACCTTTTTTATTGAACACATATTCGTTGGGTGACTTCTGCATGGCTACAAACTGTTCTAGGCACTAGGGATATGATAGTGGGGGAAAAGTGAGGGGCAAGTGTATGGCCGTGAAGGAGCTGGCATTCTACTGGGAGGAGCTAAGTAAGTAAACGCAAAAGAAACTGGCAGCCGTTAATAATGTTTATGAACATGGTAAACAGGCTAATGAGATGAAGGGTGATTAAGGGACTGCTTCAGTTTGGGTGTCAGAGCAGACCACTCAGAATTTTGAGCTGGGAGTGGAGTGATAGAAAAGAGCCAGCTGAGTAAAGGTTTGAAGCTAGGACCTTGCATGAGCTGCAAACCAGGATCTGATGGATATGTTCAAGGCTGGGAAAGCGGGTCTGTATCACTTTGGGAGGGTGTTTGGAGAAACATGATGTAGGAGAGCCTTTAGACAGGAAGAAGGTGTCTTGATTTTACTCCAACAAAGACAGAAACCATTGGATAATCATTAGCAGAGGAGTGAATTTATATTATATTTCACATTTTTCTGCTTTATTAGAGCTCAGTAACAGTGGAAAACGGTGCTGTCACCTAGGCAAGAGATGATAGTAAGTTGGCCTAGGGACATGGCATTGGGGATCGTTGGATTTAAAATATAGTTTGGATCTGCTTCAGCTGGATTAAATGAGATGACTGCCTATGCTGTTTATAAATCCCCCCAAATAAATCTAATTTCCATGTGAAAGATACGCTGCTTGTTTGTGTTGGAATATACAATAGTCAAATGGTAATTTATTTTGCTGTTTCAAAGAACAGCTTATGATGTGCATGTTTGTGTTTTCTAAAACTTAGAGTTTGGTATCAAATTTTGAAAAGAAAATTCTGCCCTGAAATCTCGTGTTCTAGGCAGGTTATCTTGTAACACTAGGAGATTTGAGCCTTCCAGACAGTTTTGCAAATTCTCTTCTGCTCCCTGCATGGTTCCTGACTTCTGAGAATGTTGTTACTCGGACCACGGAGAGGTAGCCTGCATGAAGGCTGCCCTTTTAGATAAGAAACCTATGAGTTTTTTAAGGACTGGTGGCTTAGGTCAGTCAAGCATGACTTCAAGACTAACTTCCATGCTGGATTATTCCTAGGTGGAACATTGAGGGGGAAAAGTAAAATGCAACTTAAAACTGGTGTTTTTAAAAGACAAGAATATGTGGATTTAAGCAATGTTTCCCAGAGAAACTAATGCTGTTCGCAGTAAGGGCTTCATGTCTTGAGTGTGTGACCACTGTGCAAAACCCCACAGGGTGGGTGAGAGGATGAAGAATTATGCAGTGACATTGGCAGGCAGGTCCAAGATTGAAGAAGCCAACAGCTACTGTGGGAGCATGGACCAACCTCAAAGTCTGTGTTCAGAGAATTTTCATGTTAACTCAGTCAAACAGTATTTTAGGAGCTCAGCAAAGTACAGAGCCCAGCTTTCCAATACTCGTAACTTTCTGAGATGTTTCCAAAATGGGATGCTGTGGGAACCTTTCCTTCCTTCACACCAGATCCTTCTCAAAAGGCTTTGGTTGTCAGAAAACAGCCTCAGTGCAGCAATTATGCCATGTCGGGTGATTGAAAAGACTCTTGAGACTCCACAAGGTATATGCATGTAAGACTGTGATAAAAGCAAAGGATCGGATACAGCAGGAGAAAGAAAGGCCATCAAGCATCAGAGAGGACCGAGATTCCAGGTACAGTTCCCACGGTCCTTTCTCCATCACACAGAATGTACTTCGTCTTCTGATTGTGAACCCCCAAGATACATGTGTGACACCTTGGTCTTAGGGGAGCCAAGGCTCAAGCTTACTGAGGGGTATTTTATATCCCAAAGCTCAGGTAGATAAAAGCAGGATTTGTGAACAGGTAAACAGGTGCAAACTGCCAATCCATATAGTTTCAATAAACGACATAGACAAGCTGGTACAGGATGCCTCTGGGGGAGTTTCAGACTTAACAGCATGTTGTAAATCACTAGGTAGTACATTTCACCTCTGTCTTGGCCAAGATTCAATACTATGCTTCCAGGTGCCATTTAAGATGAGCACAGAGCTACCCAAGATCAATTGCAAGTTAACCCTGTCCTCAGAGAATTGAGCCATGATGAAGACATCAGAGAAGACCTCAAGGTGGTACATCACGTCCTGTGTTTGGTTTTGTCATCCACTGGATTGGATATAACTCTTTGATTAGCTGGAGAGATGATTCAAAGGCTGTGCTTTCAAATGGAGGTCACAGTTCCTGGGAAAAATAATTAGATTCTGAAGCAATAAGGATAAAATAAAACAGAAAGAGTCATAGTGTTTTGGGTTGATTTCCCTAGAATCCGGTGGTGAGACAAAAAATTTGGATACTAGTGTTTATTTGGGAGGTGATGCCAGACTTTCTAGGGGAGTGGGGTTGTGAGACAGGAAATAGAAGGATGACAGGAAAGGTGGCTTGTCACTGCTGTGACCAAGAGGTGCATGATCCCGTTAGGTAATTCTGGGATACAGCATAAAACATACCTTGGATTTATCCTAACCAAGGGCAAGGGAATTAGGGCATATAGCCACCTTCCCCCATCTGCCTTGGTTGAGGGCTGCCCCCCTGGGTGGAAGTGGGGTGTGTAACTCCCTGGCATTTGTGGCCTACCGCATATGTGGACCAAAGCGGGGGTGAGAATCTTATCACCACAATCCTGCATCATGTATGTTATTCTAGTCTTCAGGTTATGGATGAGCAGATAGAGCAAGGTTAACCAAATTCTTTGAAGTATCACACATAGGAAATGGAGTTGGGATTCTAAACTCTGATTTGCCTCCAAAACCATCCCTTGAACATCATTGTAATCCTTAATTAACTAATAAATCATTGACATTTTTCTGACTCCTATTTATTGAAAAGTTGTCAGGCACAATTTAGATTTTGGGATACAAAGCAAAAGTTGCCTCTATTCTCCAGGAGTTCGCTTGTTTGTGGAAAAGAGAGACAAAGTATGTACTGTTATAAGAGGTATAATGGGGATATGTTGCAGCTATTAAATAGGATCAGAAAAGAGAGTATCCTTTGTTGTTGCATAACAACCCCATAATTTAGTGGCTTGAAACAATAAGTGTGTATTATGGGTCTATGGGTGAGTTGAGGAATTCTGCTGATCTGGGTTAGGTTTGGCTGATCTTAGCTGGGTTCACTCATTTATCTGCAAACAGCTGACAGGTTGGCCAGGGGGTGGATTGTTGAAGATAGCTTCACTCACATATCTGGGAATTGGTTAGATATAACTGGGGAAACTCAGTTCTCCAGCAGTCTAGCCCAGGCTTATTCACATGGTGGCTGAGAAAGGTTTAAGATTGAATGAAAGTGTACAAGGCTTCTTGAGGCCTAGGCTCAGAACAATCATTTCTGTTCTGTTATATAGGCCAATGCAACAAGGCCAGCCTAAATTCTGAGATGTGGAAATAGACTTCACCTCTTGGTGAGAGGAGCTTCAGAGTCACATTGCAAAAGGGCACTGACACAGGAAGGGGAAGATCCAGGTTATAGTCTACCAAGAAAAGAAACGTCTGGATTAAAGCTTACATGGTGTGTAGGGCTTCCCCAGCCAAATCAAGGAGGAAGCGAATTTAAGGCAAAGAGGATGATATGTGTTCAAAGACATAGAAACATGGTGCCCCTTGACTCTGTCAGATGACTTGGGCATGAAAGCATATAGTGGTGAGGGAAAGAGAAGAGGCAGGCACCATGAGAGAGAGCAGAATTAAAGACTAGAAATATGTAAATGTACCAGAATTCAGGAGACTAAAAGTTATCTTGCAGGAAGATTATGTTTATGAAAAAATGATAAGCACATGGGAAGACGAGCAAAGTCAGGTAAATGAATGAATGGATAGTGGGTGGGTGGACAGATTGCTATAGAAATGTGGTGGAAAAAATACGATTTTGTCTTATGAAATGATTTGTAGGATTTGTATTTATTTCCACAAGGAGGGGAGGGAGGGAGGAAGAAAGGAAATACCTTGATGGGAGCTTGTAGAAAAATGTGAATTGTGAATAGGCCTGGCCTGAATGTAAGAATTTTTCAACATAAGACTGTTTGTGCCTTCAAGGAGGTGCTGCAATGATGCAGATTATGTGATGAAATCTTTCTTTGCTGCCCCTTTCATAAGTGTGCTAAGCATAGTAAGTGGGTTTTTGTGGAAACTAATGAAGAATTTTGGGATTATGGTCCCAAACTGAAATTTCAAGGCTCTGGACTGCCACAAGGCCAAGTTTCTGGGGCAGGTTTCTATGTGGCAGTTGGTCCCCATTGACAAGAGGGGTGTATTTATATAGAGATCTGTGCATGTGTGTTTCCTTTGGGGTGTGTGTGTGAAATAGTCATTTTCAGTTGATGGATTTCTTCACTCTGAGACTGAATTGTGTAAACTAAATAGAAACCTTATTCTACAGTTTTCCTAAGCAACTTTTATTGTTCTCCTGGGCTTGTATTTTAAGCACGACACTCTCCCAAGTCACCAGGTGCAGCAAATTTCAGTGTGAGACTTAACCGGCTGCTGTTAGCATCACTAGCTCCTTGGAGGCAGAATGGGAACATGACTGTGGAAATAAATGCTGGCAAGACCATAAATGCAGAACCCAGGGCCAAAATACCCACTATTGTTGGCTTGGGGAATGTATTACATTCATTCTTCTCTCCCAAATATGTTGGTGATTCTTTGCTCCCTATTTCTAGAAAAAGAGATAAGATGAATTTTTTTCCTAAAAAAAGAAAAAAGTAAACAGAAAATAACATAGTCAAAGGAAAATAAATAACATAGTTAAAACTGACAGCAAAAATACAGTGTCCCATGAATATTCTCTGGTGACCTAGTAATTGTTTAGTTAATTTATTTTTCTTTGGGGAGCAGAGTGTCTCCC